CGAGACTTGGTCTGCAGCGATGTGAATAGTTTTCCTCTGGCCACGTGCTTGGCCATGTGTTTCCCCGCAGCTACACGGTCACCGGTACACGGCTGCAGCTACACGGCCGCAGCTACACGGCAGAAGGTCTCCCTGATCGAACATAGGAACCTCCCAAAACTGTGGGCCAAAATACACCTTTTCTCTTCATAAATTGATTAGTACAGGTATTCGACAGTAATAGGAAGCTGACTAGCCCAAAAAAGATTAAAAGAAGAAAAGGAAGGGCCGGCCAAATAGTTCAGTGGATTCAAGCGGCTGCAAGCGGCTGCAAGCTGGTGCAGGGGCCGCGGGTTCGATCCTGCTGTGCCGGCCCCCGGGGCGCGCTGAGTCGGCGACTGAGGCTGGGCATGGGGGCGCGCACCTGTAATTCCAACTCTTGGGAGGCTGTAAACAGGTGGATCACTACAGTAGGATCTAGTAGTGAGACCCTTAAGACCCTGTAGATCCTTCCCTAAAATACCAAAATAAATAAATAAAATCAGAAAAAGGACTCAGAAGACTAAGCGCCTGCTTTGGCAAGTACAGGAACCAGGGTTGGATCTCTAGTCAGGCGTCAAGCCTCCATGGTGCCCTGACTCTGGCGTGGGGTGCCTCAGTTAGCTACCAAGTCTGGGCGTGGGGTGCATGCCTGTAATACCGAGTGCTGGTATTGTATTGTGGACCACCACACCCTGCTGCTGCAATTTTATTTCTACTTTATTGTCTTGCCCCGCCAGGGCTGGAGGCTAGGGCCTGGAGCTCTCGCCCTGCCACTGAACTGTACTCAGTCCTGTCATTACTATTACAGCATGCTTTCCTAGCAATAAAAATGTTTACTGCCAACAGTCTGCCACATTACCCTTCTCAGAAGTGGCTGGCCCCTAGAGGACATGTGACTGTGCATTTACTTTGTAGAGGAAACTTTCTCACCCTTTGTAGGAGAGCAAGCTGGTGTGCACGTCACAGGCAGAGTTGTCATAAAAGCGAACACTGTGACAAGAAGGCAAAGTTTGGTCCTGGTCAGTAGCTGTGGCCCTGCCCTCCCGGTTCAAATGGAATTTGGTGACAAATGTCACTGTGGTTTTTTAAAGTCATGGTAGCAGAGCCCTGATAGTCTTTGCCCTTGCTGTCAGGGAGAGGGGACAGAAATTCCACATGGCACGATTCTATGCACTTTCCTAGCATGGGGACTTCGCAGACTTCAATGGAAGAGTTGTCCTGCCTGGTGACTCCACTGGTGGCCTTGCAGGGGTGACAGGGAGAAGAATGGGATTGTCAAGTAAAAAAGGAAGGGAGCCAGGTGCAGTGGCCCACACCTGTAACTCCAGCATCCCTGAGAGGCTGAGGCAGGAGGATTGCCCTGATTGCCTGGGCTACAGAGTGAAGTAGAGAGGTAAGCGGTGCGGGACATGGCACAAGCAGAAGCCTGGAGACAGGCAGGAGGTGCAAGCATCATTCTTTGAGGGCTAGGGTGGTGCATTTTGGGGGACAGACCAGGTCCCAGAGCAATCTGCTTGGTAAGAACAAGGCGGGACTTGGGGATGACATGAGACTTGCTCCCGAACCCTCCCAGCCACCAGCTAGGTCTCCAGAAAGCCACAGCTGAGACAAGTGGAGTGCTGGGTCCTTCTTGCAATTGGGGAAACTGAGGCACGGAGTGGCCTGAGGTCTTAAACTACAAGGTGCAGAGCTGGGACTGGTCCAGAACCTGCATCCCTCCCCCAGCTCCCTACCACCTGTTCTGGCTTGTGTCCCCCCAAAGTCTCATGTGGCTACAGGTTGAGTTTGTCAGAGGTACCTGAAGCTTGAGTGTGTGGCTGATTCATGACACAACTCTAGGATTGAGGGTGGGTTACCACTAAGTGACTTCACTGATGGGCTTGGTGCCATCCTAATCCCGGGAGCCTGGACCAACACGAGGGTCAGAAAGGGGCTGGTCTTGTCCTTGCTCGCTCGCTGCGCTTCCTTGTGCCTGCCGTGAAGTGTTTGTCCTCTGTGCGGCCCCTCTGCCCTGCCACCCTGCCTCGGACCAGCCGAGTGTGGACCGAGACCTCTATACACTATGGCCTAAATACACTTTTCCTTCCTTAACCTGTGGGTGATGGGTATTTCATCTCAGTAACCAGAGAAGAAACTAAAACATCACTCAAGCCCAACCTCCCAGGCTGCAGCCAGAAGTACCTAGATTTCTGTCATCATTCAGCATCCACTGTGTACCAGGTGCTTGGGGTCCCAGCTCTTGGCAAGCTGAGGCCAGAGGATCTCTGTGAGTTCAAGGCCAGCCTGGTCTACATAGCGAGTTCATGGTCAGCTTGGATAGTGAGAAACTGTCCCAAGCAAACAAACACAAAACCAGCAGAAAGCAAAGTCCATGCTGACCTGGGGCCAGGGAAGGGCGAGGGAAAGAGAGAGTAGGGCACAGCGGAGGCAGCCTCCAGCCAGTCCAGCCAGTCCACTACCTCCATCCGGGCTTCCTAGTTCCAGCCTCACAGTGTGTCCCTGGGCTGATGCCCGCCCAAGGCCAGCATGCTGGCTCTGTCCTGGCCCCTCTGCTGTCCTGAGGCCCACGCGGCCTTGGCCTTGCCACCTCTCCAGACTCACTTAAGTCCTAGCAGTGGCCTCAGGGCCTTCGGACCTGCTGTTGCCTCTGCCTGGAAGGCTTTTCCTCTGCTCAATTCATTTCTACTCAGCCACCTAGATAACCATCACCTCTAGGAAGCCTTAGCTGACCTTCCCCTGGGCCACGCCAGGCCACCTTCCCCAAGGGCAGGGATCTGATACCCTAATAGCTCTGATTTACCAGGTGCTCATCCCTCTGGGCACAGAGTTGGTTCTCTGCCAAGGTGTGGGGAGCAGTCTTGTGCCCATTTTACAGGCAGAGAAACTGAAGCACGAGGAGGTGAAGTCACTAGCCCCAGGGCTGCTGAGCTTAAACTGGCAGGACGGGTTAGAAGTGGTTCCAGCCCACACAACTCAGAAGGCAGCCTGCAGGGGGCCGGGGAGATGGCTCAGTGGGATAAGCACTTGCCTGGCAAGCGCAAGGACCTGAGTTCAATCCCGGGTTCCACCAAAAAAAAAAAAAAAAAAAAAAAGGCAGCCTGCAAGATGCAGGTACAAGGGAGCGGACCCCATGGTGCCCACCTCCCTGTGTTGTCCTGCAAGCAGGCAGAGGGGACTCTGCTCTTTCCTGCAGCACCCAGTCAGCCAGGGGTGCTGTGCCCGAGAGCTCAGTTTCACCTCACTAGCATAGCCACAGTTGGGGCAGAAGCGGGCGGGCGCTCTACTGCCTTCCCTGGAGGAGGGGGGATGCAAGCACTGGGAACAGGAACTCCCTTTGGTCCCTGGCAGCCTCCCCCAGCCCTTCAGGGCATGGAAACCCTCAGAGGTTTGCTAATCCCTTTCTAGGTCCAGGTGTCCTTGGACCCATTTATTCATTGATTATTTGTTCATTCTTTTCCTTATATGTTCAGTTTTTGATACTGGGGCTTGAACCCAGGGTCTTTGCACTGAGCCATATTTTGAGCCCCTGCTTGAATGTTTTTATTTTACTTTTTTTTTTTTTTTTTTTTTTTGAGACAGTATCTTACTGAGTCACTAAATTGCCCAGACAGATCTTGAGCTTCTGATCCTCCTACTTCAGCTTTCCAAAGTGCTGGATGTACAGGTGCAAGCCATCACACCCAGCTTTATTCACTCTGAAAATGGGATCAGTCCAGGATTTGCATCTTGGGGTGCCACCCATTGGGTCCAGGTTTTCCTACTAGGCGTCACTTGCCCTCTGTGCCCAGTCTGGGATCTTGGGGAGATCCCCTATTTCTCTCTCTCTTTTTAAAATTTATTTAGTACAGGGTCTACAGGATCTCACTACACAGATCGGACTTGTAGTGATCCTTCTGTTTTCAGCCTCCCAAGCACTGGGATTGCAGGCACACGCCACCATGCCCAGTCTCACTGGCTGTCTCAGTGCACCCCGGGGTGGGGCCAGCACAGCAGGCTGGTTATGGAACCACTGGCCCCTGTGTCTGCCTAAGCAGGTGCTTTAATCCGCTGAGCTATCTGGCCAGCACTAGATTCCCCCATCTCTTGCAGCTCATCTGACAGATTTTGCAAGCCAGCTTAGGATGCAACTGTCTCCTTACACCCCACTTGTGTGTGTGTGTGTATGCATGCGCATTACACACGTTTGCACATCTGAATCTCCCTATCCCATTAGTAAAAGTCATCCCCCAAACTTGCATGTGCCTAGCTCATAAATCTCCACTGCCTCTCTTCCCAGCAGGCAGGAATCCAGAGGATGCTCTTCCACTAAAGTGAATTTCTACCTGGCTCACTGCCTAACACAACTTCCAGCCGGTTCCAAGCCAGATCTCTTCCCAACCATTGCATACAGAGTTCTTAGAACACCATCGGATCTTGTTACAATCTCGCTCGCTCCAAGCCTCAACCCTCACGGAATCGGCCGTCTCCACGCCTCTCCCTGCGCTTGGTTCTTCCTGGCCTCCCTTTGCTCTGCACACCCAGCAGGGCCCTGCCCTGCCCTTGCCCCCACCCCTGCCAGTGCAGTGAGGCCAGCCTGGCACCTGGCCTGAGAATCCTCCCTTCTGCCTCGCGGGGCCTCCGCAGGCCTTCCCGTGTCCTGCTGTGGTCTTTCTTTCAGCACCGGCTGGGATGGTGCGATTTGCTTGCGCAGTTCTCAGAAGCCGTCTACAGAGCTAGGCTGTAGGGCGTGCTTGTGTCCCCCGATTCGGGTGTAACAAGGCAACCTCCCCGCGAGTGGTCCCACGAGTGGCCCCACTCACGCTCCGGATCCCCTCTCCCCATGGTCCCAGATCCTTGGACACAACGCCCTGAGAGGATTGGATCTGGATCACAGCGTGCACCCTGAGAGGCAGATAGGGTGAGGGGCGCCGTAGCGACACCTCCTGGGTTACCCGCTGCGCAGAGGCGGGGCCAGAGCCCTCCGCGGGGCCATCGCTTAC